CGGGCCCGCCGCTGCGGCCGCGGACGGGGAGGCGCTGTCCGCCGCGCTGGACGCCACCCTAGAGCTGCTGCAGCTGGCGCCGCTGCTGCTGGGGGCGATGGCGCACTTTCCCTTCGAGGTGCCCCTGCAGGCCTTCTGGCTACAGGTGAGGCGGGCGGGCGTGCGGGGGCTGGGCGCGCGGCGGGCTGGGCGACGGCGGCAGAGGGGTGGGGGAGGCACGAAGTAGTATGCTTCGTGCGTCGGACAACCGCGCTCTCAGTCCGGCATGCGGGGCCGGCAGGAGCCTGGATGCGTTGGTCCTCTCTTCCGCCCGTGGCTTGCTTGCCGCTCCGCACGGCACTGCCTTCCCATCCCACCGCAGCGCTGCGGAGCTCCTTTTGTTCTCGACTGACCCCGCTTGGCGGCGCACCGGACGCGCCCCGTCGCCACCCCTCGCGTCACGCAGGCGCCCGCGTCCGGCGGCCCCAGCCCGGCGGCGCTGCTGGCGGGCTTCGCCACATATGCATACGACGCCTCTGTCAGCGCCGCCGCCCTCGCCTTTCTCCAGGCCCTCGCCCTCACCCTCGCGCCACCGCCGCTCCCCGGCGCCGGCCACGCCGGCGCCGCGGGCGCCCACATCCGCCCGCGGCTGCCCGGCAGCTTCTCGGGGCTGCTGGGCGCCTGCCCGGGGCTGGCGAGGGCCCTGGTCGAGCCGTTCAGGCGCGGCTACGCGGCCGCGCTTCCTGACATGTTCTGCCGCGCGGCGGCGCTGCTGGAGGCGGCCGCGAGGCACCACCCAGAGCTACTGGATGCGATGTGCTTCCCCTCGGGCCTGGAGCAGCCGCCCGCGGTGGCCGGCGCGGGCGCCGCAGCTGCGACGGGCGCGCTCGTGCCGAGCGGCGGGAAGGAGGGCGGGCAAGCGGCGGCGGCTTCGGCGGCCAAGAAGGGCGGCGCGGCGCCGCCGTTCAGCGCGCTCGACGGGCTGTGGGCGCTGCTGCAGAACGCGCGCGGCCTGCTGCAGTCGTCCCCGCGCGCGGCGGCGGCGCTGCTGGGCGCGCTGGGCGCGCTTTGGGAGTGCCAGGCGTCGGCGCGGGGGGCGGTGGAGCTGCTGAGGGGCCAGACTGGTTTCTGGGACGCTTTGAAGGTGGGTGCGGCCGAATTTGCATGCCGCGGCCTGACCTGGTTCGAACTGTGCGTGCGGTGCGCGACGCCCGACCCTCATGCAAACACGTGGTGCCACGCCGTGCCTCGGAAGGGTGTGGCCCATGCCGCCCACATCAACCGCGGCTGCGCCGGTGCGTCGCTTTTGCACGACCCTGACCGCTGCCATGACAACCCACCCCGGACTCTGCACCTTGCACCCGCCAGGCGTGCCTGCCGGAGCCCCAGTCGCTCCAACCGCCGCCAGCTGGCGCCCCCCTCGACCCCGAGGAGGCAGAAGCATCCGCCTGGCGAACCAGCGCGGCCGCCTCCGCCCTCCACATCCTTCTCCTTGAAATGCTGTCGGTCCCGGCGCCCGCCGCTGGAGCGGCGGCAAAGGAGCAGCAACAGCAGCAGCAGCAGCAGCAGGAGGGGGAGGCGGCGTCGGGGGCGCGGCGGGTGCTCAACTCTTTGGGCCCGCGGCGGCTGGGGGAGCTGCTGGCAGCGGCGGCTGCGCCGCAGCTGCCGGGCCGGCTGCTGGAGGGCGTCCTGTCCCTCACCCAGGTGCGCGCTGACAAAGCATGCTGAAAAAGCACGCTGACAAAGCAGCCACTGGCCGCCGCCGCAGCCCCTGGCGGCGCCAGGTGCTCCTTCTCCCCCTCCCCCCCATTATCACGCACCGCTGCGAGGTGGGGGCCTTGAGCGGCCCCCCAGTCGCTTCGAGGCCCCGCAGCTTCAACCTGCTGCGCTCCTAGGCGGCCCTTCGCCCTCGCCAGCCCTCCTCAGCCCCTGCCCCACCCCGCGCCGCCACCGCACCCAACACCACCGCGACCACTTGTCCCTGCAGAATGCAATCCTAACCCTTGATCACGTCCACCCAAAATGCAATCCTGATAGTCATCCCGTCCACCCAAAACGCGACGTGTGCAGGCCACATACCTCCAGCTCGGCTCCCTCGGCCTCCGCGGCGCCTGGGGCCACGCGCAGCACGACGCGCTCGGCGCCGCGGGCGAATTCAGGGCAGAGGTCGCGCCCCTGCTCGCCGCCTGCGCGCGCGGAGAGTACGAGCCGTCGGATTTGGAAGCTGCCTGCCAGCTGCTGGCGGACGCCGCGGGCGGCGGCGGCGGCGGCGCGGCGGCGGGGTCGCCGGCGCAGGGCGGGGGCGGGCGCTGCGCGGCGCTGGCAGAGGCGCTGCGGCGAGAGCCATTCGGCCGGGTACTGCTGGGGCACGCAGCGGCGCCGCCCGCCGCGCTGTCGCCGGCGCCGACGGATTACGGCCGCAGCTTCCTGTTCGACGCCGGCCAGGTGGAGCGGCTTCTTGGCAGCTTCCTCATCGAGGAGATGGGGACGGCGGCTGCCCTGCAGCTGCTGCTGGGGGACGTTGGGGCCGCAGCGTCGCGGTCGCACGCGCGGCTGGCGCTGCTGCAGGTGAGGGGCCCGCGGGCGGGGCTGGCCACGAGCTTTCTGCTGGCCGCAGGTGGGCCGGAAGACTCACTCCAGAAGCTGCGACCACTTGCTGCTGGCTTCTTTTGTCATTTTGGTTTGCCGGTGCCCCTTTTGTCGACCCCATCCAGGTCATCCCAACCAATGCAATGCACGCGTGTCAATGCAGGCCGTTGCTTCGATGGTGGCGGCGCTGCCGCGCGACGCGCCGGCGCGCAAGCAGCTGCAGGCGCCCGGCGCGAGCAACGAGCTGCTGCTGCGCTGCGTCCAGGCGCGCGGGGCGCCGCCAGGGGCGTCCCATCTATGAAAGCTCCCTGGCGCGGGCCACCTGGACCTCATTTCTCTGAACAATTCACGTCAAGTTGCTTGCCGCTCGATCCATTCTTGCAGCGCTGTACCCCTTCCCACTGTTTCGTCCCTCAGTCATGCCCCACTTTCCCACCAATCCGTTCGCCGCAGGCCGCTGAGTCAGCAGCCGACGAGCACCAGCGGCTGGCCGCCTCGCCCGCCGGCCGCCTGCTGCTCTGCCCCTGGGCGCTGCCCGTCCTCGGCCTCGCAAGTGCCGAGTCAGTGCTGATCTGCGCCCGCACGCTGCTGGCCGCCGTGCGGCTATGGAAGGCCACCCACGCG